GGTGTACATAGCAATAATGAAGACTATATAAAAATCGTTACAACAATCAATTTAAATTAAAATGAAAACAAATGAAAAACATAATGGCAGTGAAACATGCAGAGACTGCATTCTGTTAATGTCATACAGGTAGTTCTCACTTAGCAACTGTTTGAAGATAAAATGGATCTCCCACAAAGGTATTTATGAGTTGATTTTAAAGTTCCAAAGGCTGTATTATTACTATTATTATTATTATTATTATTATTATTATTATTATTATTATTATTATTATATACTGCAGTCACATTATTACATTTCGGGTGCTTGGCAAACAGCAAACCTTTATGGCAATTTACAGCATCCCATAGTCATATGACTATGATTTTTGATGTTTTTTCCTGGTCTGCAACAACAACAAAAAAGCCCATTAGGTAAAACAGCTTAATGATCACTGTTTTTGCTTAACAACCGCCTCAAAAAAGTAATAAAATTTGGGCGCAGTCACATGGTGACCCGCTTAATTACTGTAATGACTTATCACTGTAATTCTGGGCTCAATTATGGTTGAAAGTTGTACATGTACAGCCACCCAACAGGTTCCACTCTACAATGGGCTTTCCCAAGCTAGCTGACAAGCCATGTTTTAAGGGCTTTCTGGAAGTTGGGGTCAACTTCACCTTGTGGGGAGTAATGTTCCACAGGGCAGGGGCTATGGCAGAAAGAACTTTCTTCCTAGTGTCACTTGATTACATTCCCTATTTGTATATAAGTTAAATAAAACTGTCTACATTAAATCTACAGCATGAAATTGGAAGTAGTTATACATGAAAAATAGAACAATACATGAAAATTAGGTGGAAATATGAGAAAGAACTGTATGCTTGAAGTATTAGAATGCCATTCCACCAATATAATAGAATTCTATACATAAGAATTCTGTCATATGAGTTACAAATGCCCTTTAACTTCCTCATAATACTGATGTTAATATATAACCTAACCCAAAGCTATATATAAGCTATGTAACACTTGTCAGAAAAACATGATTATTTTAATTTTGTTTTGGCTTTGATTTATAAAAGTTTTATTATAGGTAGTGTTTGAGTTATGATGATAAGCTAACTCCAAACTACACGCAAGCTAATTAATGCTTCCCGGGATAATATGATTATTTTAATTTTGTTTCCATTTTGAATTGCAGAGATTTTATTACATTACAAGGTATTCCTTGAATGGGGATCAGGATTGCCATTGCTGAGTGATGTAGTCCTAAAATGTGATCATATTGCTTAGCTAAGGTGATCCAGGTAATACTGGTTATCATGATAACTCAAGATGTGTGAGTTGTTAAGCAGGAAGCAACAGGAGTCCTAGCTAAGGAGTGCCAGGGTGCCACAGAGGTGAGGGAGGCCCATCTCTGGTTGTACATTGTAAGACGCTAAGAAAAAGACACAGGCATGTCTTGAGCAGAGGTTTGAAGCTGCAGGACATAGCTTTGAAGCTTCAGGACACAGCTTTGAAGCTGCAGGACACAGCTTGACAAACTCTGAGTTTATTGCTTCTTATATACTTGTTACATACATAGGCTTTTCCATTAGATGCTGACATAAAGTTTTCTAGTAACACATTACCTGATCAAAGACCAAGTAAAGAGCAAACAGGAGAAGGAACTAACAAAGGCAGGAAGAGATAGGAAGGAACTTAAGCATATTATCTACAGGAAGAGATAGGAAGTAACTTAATCATATTTAGGTAGGTGAGGCATTAAGTCAAAAGTGGATGACCTTCTGTCTGCTTCATTAGGACAAAGGGTATCAAAAGGTTATGAGGTTTGTGTGTGTGGGGGGGAAAGCATGGCAGTTTGCTGCGCGTGCATTTTCCCCCACATCTCACTCTTCTCTATTTTATTAGTGAGGACGTTATCCTAAGCTGGAGTAGTTAGTGGGTCTTAGTCAGGGGACATATAACTTTACATTTGTTTATACAAAACATAACTTGTTCCTGGGGTAAGTTAATGGTAGTTTAGTATGGAAAATTGAAAGTAGAGAAAAAAAAGACATTGAATAACCATATATGTGCATAATTAAAGGATACCTCTTGAAAGGAGGTAAAATTTAAAATTCTTTGACTGACATGTATACAGTGAGGTTTTTTAGGTGAAGTAGTACAATTGACAATTTTTGCACAAGTAAGATTTGTAGGCACAGCTACAATTGGTGTATACAAAACAATAGCACCAAGGGGTAACATATAAGAGGCATGACCCCAGCTTGACATAGTTGCATAATGAAATTCATTGTCTGATAGAAAATTGCTTAAAACCTTTAATTTTTTTTAAACTGAAGCTGGAACACATAAAGGTATAAGACAGGTAGAGAGTAGATTTTCCACATCATATGATTCAGAAATACAAAAGTCTGTCACTTGTGTTACATTAGCCAATTGCACCCAAATATTATATTTCATCCGTGATTCTAAAGGATGAGGTGGGAGAGCTTGAGCCCCCACACAACAATTAAGAAGGAAAGAGAGGCAAAGAATGACTAAGGAATTTGCAGTCAAAACCACAAATATGGCAGCGCATAAATTCTCTGGTGTAAGTTCTTTTCCCTGTTGCCGCAGAACCATCTGTGCTTTGGATGTTAGGTTTTTCATATTGCCCCAGGTTGTTAGTCAACTGCGATGGCGAGAGCAAAAGGGACGTTGTGCTATCTGAAGAGTCACCTGTTTCATTTCCAGTATTGGGTTCTGGACTTGATGCCATGACATCTTTGGCTGGTCGCACACACTGGGCTAGAATCCAGAGAGGGCATGTAGGAGCAAGCATAGCAGCATAGCCTTGCCCCCAAGTTAGTAAGGGAATTGGACCTAACCAGGTTTTATCAGACAATTGCTGATAATATACCAATGGATTAGGGAGCACAGCTTTCTGCTGAAAGTGATGCTGGTAGGCAGTAGTTTTTTGAAAAGAAATATTCAGCTGATTTAAAGTTATTAGGGCTTTATTAACTTGATGAGTTATCCATGCCAAATTAGGTACTCTTGATCCCTCCTTTTTTATTTGTTTGTGAAGGCAGTCCTTAAAGGACCGATGCATATGTGAGAAACAAAGGATAGCTACTGTAAAGTTAAAAACAAAGCCATAAGATTGGGGTCGATCCTGGGCGTGAAGTAAGCACCTGGAAAATTAAAAATAAGTTGGCACACATAATGAGAGTCAGAGATTAAGTTAAAAGTCTGTTGAAAAAAGGTGTGGAAAGCTAAAATAGCAGCAGATAATTCTGAGTGTTGTGGTGAGGATTGCACTGCAGTGTAGGCAGATGATATGAAATACAGCCTATATAGTCAGCACTGAAGAGATAAGTTATTCTGAAAATAAAATTGAAAATCAAATTTTGGGATAGGAAGAACAATATTAATTAAATCAATCCCAATTCGACGACAAGCTCAATTGTGTCCTAAGGTTATTATTTCGGCAACAGCCTGGATAAAAGATAAAACATTTTGGGATGGGATAAGTAAAGCCATTCAATACAATATACTTTTTGCACTTCTAACACAGCTAATACTCCTGTAAGTAGCTTACTAGTAAGAAATATCAAAAGTGTTAAGTGACAATTTTTATGTGGAATTCTGTCCACAAATTGAGTACTCAAGTACTTAATTTGCTCAACTGTGGTAAATGCTGCAAGTGGAACTACAATGAGATCTCCAGGTTGTTTTCCTTTGGTCAATAAGTCAAATTCCAAGTTAATCAAATACCATTAAGATGGAAACAAATTTCCATTAAGTAGGTTAAACATTTACAAATCTTAAGCAAAACAATTCAGAGTCATTTCTTTTGGTTGATGTATATATAGGTCTAACTAAACAATTTAAACTCAACACTTTCCCCCCAAAAAATTGTCCAACAATTACTGTCTCTTCTTTCAAGTAAAAATTTTGTAATCTGAAACTGAAAGAGTGGGCATTAAATTTCATCTTCATTCGCAAACCAGAATTTTAAGCAGAGAGGAAAAAAAGTTTAAAATGAACAGCCCCCCCCCCTTCTTTCTTTCGGTCTCTCTTGCTCTTAAAGCAACACAGCCAGTTGAAAAACAAAAGAGACAGGAAAAAATTTTGTTACAAACTTTTCACCACTAAAAAATAGTTTTCTCTCCTTCACATGCATTTTCCACAAATTCTCTCACACATTCTCCATGGATACAAATATTTCATTTCATACTTTCTCCAGGCAAACCATTTATTTTTAAATAAGGCCTTTTTGTGTGATGTTATCAAAGAGGGTTTTGACCCTCTTCCAAGTCTTGGAAATAACACAGAACAACACAGACAAACATATATACACAAATACTATTAAAACAACATTTATTTAGACATATGGCTTGTCCTGCAAGAAGCGAGAAAAATCATGAGATGATTCCAACCAAACATGTGGTTTTTAACCATCTCCTATTTTTCTCACCATTCCAAGCCCAAGCGTAATGTTCTGGGTGGCCACACATATACATAAACAAAATACACACACATCAATTTGGGGTTTGAGGCTAAAACAGGCCTCCCCTTTTAATTAAAAAGGAGGGGGACATTTATGGTTACTTCCAATTTATCCCAGCAACTTCAAAAGACATTGGGGAAAGACTAAAAGGAAAATTGAAGGTGTGAAGGGTGAAGGAAAAGTAGCAGCCTCCTCTCTTCACCTTTGACAAAGGGGAATTGAATAGAGCCAGATTAAAAGGGGAAAAAAGGAAAAAAAAACTTACTTTCAGTTCTTTGAATTTTCTTTTCTTTTTCTTCCATGGCTTTAGTTGTTATCAGATAAACTAGCCAACCGGAGGTTTACAAAGTTTTTCAATGTTGTCTTGTTAAAGATTATTTATACTTCTACTCATCAACACAAAGCACCACCAGACATTGTCTGACAGGGTTAAACTTAACAGCTACTTGAAGTTTAAAAACATCCCAATTGTTCAAAACACATTGCAGAGGAGTACATTTTGATTTAATTTGTTTCTTTAAATTCCTCTGACGATTCCCCATATATATTCTACTTCAAGATTGTTCCTCTAATATTTTCCTTACGGGGGTGTATGGTGGCCGTAAGAAGGCAAAAGAATTAGCCTCTTCAGAAGGAGCTGAAAATCCAATTAAAGATGCTTTCAGAGGCAGTTTTTACTTGATCCTAATCAGCTGTGGGGCTTGTAGTTAATTGTTGCCCTGCTGAAGCATCTGATCCAAATTTTTCCACTGCTTGATGGCACTGATGCCATTGATGTAATACCTGTATTGGAGCCCGAGATTCAAGATGTAAAGTATGTCCTATCTCGTAATCTAAGCATCCAGCGCTTAGGATATCAAGGGGAATGTTTCCCTACTTCATCCACCAGCTTCCTTATGTCTGCCTCAGGCGCTTTCCCACCTGATTTGTGTAACAGGAATCTGAGTTCCTGTACATGTTTCTGCTGGTGCTGAGATAGTTGCAACCCTTACTTACCATTGAGGGATCCCATAGGACAAAAGTGCACTTAGGGGTCTATTCCAGATGCTGGTAAGTAAGTTGGCTGTTGCTTCCTCGGAAGGAGGGGCTGTCCCAGTTGCTCCATGGGGGGCTGTCCCTGTTCAGGGGCCAAATGTAAGATGCTAAGAAAAAGACAAAGGCATGTCTTAAGCAGAGGTTTGAAGCTGCAGGACACAGCTTGACAAACTCTGAGTTTATTACTTTTTATATACTTGTTACATACATAAGCTTTTCCATTAGATGCTGACATAAAGTTTTCTAGTAACACATTACCTGATCAAAAACCAAATAAAGAGCAAACAGGAGAAGGAACTAACAAAAGTAGGAAGAGATAGAAAGGAACTTAAGCATATTATCTACAGGAAGAGATAGGAAGTAACTTAATCATATTTAGGTAGGTGAGGCATTAAGTCAAAAGTGGATGACCTTCTGTCTGCTTTATTAGGACAAAGGGTATCAAAAGGTTATGAGGTTTGTGGGGGGGAAAGCATGGCAGTTTGCTGCGCGTGCATTTTTCCCCACAGTACATGAGTTGGGAGAGGGATGCTGCAGTGTGGCATGATCACAGGGAGGCCAAGGAAGGAAGGGGGGGAGTGTATGAGCAAGAGAGGCCTAGGAAGGAGGGCACAGGGTGCAGGTGTGAGGTCTATGCGAGTACGGGAAGGCCCAAGAAGATATGGTGCCTGCATGCAAGAAAGGGGAAGACATATCACAATACTTTGCAACCTTCCCTGTTGACTGCTTGTGTGAAGCCAGCAGGAAAGGTCACAAAATGGTGCTCATGTGACTGCAAGGGTGCTGTAATGGCTGGAATTTCTTGATCATATGTACCACTTGTTCAGCACAAGGAATGGTCAATAAGTAAAGACTAGCTGTATACTGTTTTATTTGGTAGCCATTTGGGCCAACTATGACCTGGATGATTGAGAATCTCCATAGTTTATATATTAGATAGAAAATTGTGTGTGTGTGTGTGTGTGTGTGTGTATGTGTATATATGTATGTGTATGTGTGTGTGTGTGTGTGTGTGTGTGTTATATAAATCAATGAATGGTGCCTATAATTAAGAGTAAGATGCAATCATTTGATTGTAATAATAGGACCTATAATATGTGAAAGGAAGATTCCTATTTATATACTAAATCTTCTATCATGATCTTTAACTGAGTGAAACGGTGCATCATAGGGCAACAATTTTTGAACTGAGGTGCCTCAAATGGACTAATTTACAGAATATACCCTAATCTGGGACCCATAACTCCTGAGGGAATTAAATTTGGGGAAGTTGTGATTGCTGTTAGGCTGCAGCTGTGGTCATGTGATCTTCATTTTCAATGTTCTGTGACAATTTCCCAGCCAATTTCATAATCGCTTGCTCCCTCCCCACCTAGCAACAGTCACTTACAGTGCAAACGGTTAGTTGGCATATCTCATAGGTATAACGGATTTTGTGATGTAAAGAAATGATTCTTTGCCTAGGCAGGTAAGTCAATGTCCTAACACAGTGCTACTAGTTCTATCAATAATGAATTATCAAGCTTTGGCCTGTGCTGTGATGGCACTGCATTGTAAAAGCAAGAGTATAACCACTCTCAGCTTTCCTTATCTGGGTACGGAGCCATGCTCTCCATTTAGTCTAAGGCAGAGGCTCTTTTATGACTTGTGGACTTGGCTCTTTTACGACTTGTGGACTTCAACTCCCAGAATTCCTGAGCCAGCATGGTCTAAGGGAAGATCTGTAACACCTGGATGAGATCAGTATCAGTTATCCACTTTCAGCTGTCTCCTCCAGAGGAACTGGCTGCATACAATCACTGGAGGGACATGCATTCAAGGCTTCTGTCAGTACTGACCCTTCGATAGTAGTCAGGCTTACATTTGCCTGATAGTGTTCCCTAAAGTCAGGAATATGGCTTTCTAGGGCCTTGTGTCTCCTAAGGATGACTTAGGAACCACTGAAATCTGAAGCACAACTTCCTTCTCTTGGTAATAGAATTTTTGTGCTGTAGGGAGCAGGAATAGAAATCTTTGTTTTGTTTCACAATAGTGCTGCACAGGTAGTCCTTGACGTATGACTACAATTGAGCCTAATATTTCTGCTGCTAAGTGAGACAGTGGTTAAGTGAGTTTTACCTCATTTTACAACCTTTCTTGCCATAATTGTTAAATGAATCATTGCAGTTGTTTGTTAACAAGGTTGTTAAATGGATCTGGCTTCTCCAATTAACTTTGCTTGTCAGAAGATTGCAAAATGAACCCCCATCATGACATTGTAACCATAATAAACACGAGTCAGTTGCCAAGCATCTGAATTTTGATCATGTGACCATAAGAATGCTGCAATGGTCATAAGAGTGAAAAATGGTCATAAGTCATTTTGTTCAGTGGTGGTGTAATTTCAAACGGTCACTAAACAAATTGTTGTAAGTTGAGGACAACTTGTATGTCATGCCCACTCCTTACCTGTTTCCTTACCTTCTGTGGACAGCAGAGCAAGGACAAGGACATCTCTACATTGCTGAAAAAGAGCAACAGTGAACATAGTACCTCAGAAGCGGAATGAGGGACAGAATCTTCTCCTTTGCAAGAATATTTGGATCAAAAAATCATAATTTAATGTTCTTCTCAGTGGGGTTCAGGCTCAGAAGGGAAGGAGGAAGGAAAGTAGCTAGGTCATGGCTAATCTCTGGGCAGTGAAGATTGAATTCTGCTAAGGTGGGAAATACTATATTGCACGTTGTGCAATAGTTCACATGGTGCAATAAGACTGTGTGTTTGTTGTCATTGTGAATTGTGATGGGGAGTGCACGAAGGGAGGCTCAGCCAATGTCATTGTACTTTGAGATTGTACTTTGTACATGTACTTTGACAATAAAGCATTTTAATTTAATTTAATTTAATTTTAATTAATTTAAGTTGGTTGGGAATATTGGGAGCTTTAGCTTCAGACAACAGACAAGCATCAAGTTCAGGAACGCTGCTGTGCATATTTACCTTCCAAATGTGAATAATAAGATGGCTCCACCAGACCGGTCGCTTTACAGCCCCTTCGCCGTCCCCTCCAACTATTTTTCCTCCCGGTCCGCGAGCCCTGTTCCTTCGAAGGAACCAAAATATCAGTTATTCGATTCTTCACCTAATAAGCATCAAAGAAGGAGATTTGTGACAGAGCCCCAAACCAATGAGGAAAAGAAGGGGCGGGGCCGCGGGGGCGTTGAGCTTTTATCAGCTGGCTTTATTAGACAGCTGCAGCTGGGCGGCGATCGTGGTAGTTGGGACATTGCAGCTTTTGGGACTGGCTCCCCTTTTCGCAATAAGTATCTTGAACTTACGGGCTCCGCAGCCGAAAGCGTCCCATCTCTCTTAGGGTCGGGGTCTCCGAGTCTCCCAAAATGGCCGGCAATCGAGATTGCGCTAAGGAGCAGCTGAAGCGCTGGCAAGAGCAGCGGGACTCCCAGGTACCGACGCCCCCCCCCTCCCCAGTCCCGGCAGAGCCTGTGCTTCTGGAACGTCCCCGGGAAAGTCTCTCGGGCAGCGCATCTGGGGGCCCCGGAGGACATCAAGCTGGAATAGCGTGATGTAGTATAGTATATTGCTACTGGACTAGAGAAGCGTATTTTGTGTTTTATGATGGGAGAACAGATAGCAGAAAAAACGAAGTGGAGATGTGGGCTTAATAACTGGGAACAGGGAACTGCAATAGGTTCAGTCTCGGGGAAGAGAGACTGGCTAAGGAATAGTTTCAGAAATAATTTCTCCTAGGTGTAATGCAGGGTCTGTTCAAGATTTGATCTGGTTTGGATATTCATGTTTCCTTTTTTTGGCAATAGCTAAGCAGTGTGTGTTCCTTGCTTGTATCACTAAAAATATCAAGTAGATAAAGACTGACTAAAGAGTAATTTCTCCCCCCCTCGTTTTAATCCTGCCTTTGTTTTATAAAGAATTCAAGGGGACAAGCATACAACCTGGCTCTGCCAGTTGGCCCAAGGACCAAATGGGATATTCCAAAGGTGCTTTTTCACAAGGCAACTGGGCTTTCTTGTTTTTCTTTGAAGATGTTTTGCTTCTCATCCAAGAAGCTTCTTCAGCTCTGACTGTTGAAACATCAGTTGCCTCATGAAAAAGCACTTTTGGGATAACTATGACCTGTATGCCTGAGAATCTCCATAGACCAAATGGGAGAGTTACACTGTGGAGATGGCTGCTGGATTCATGACAGCTTTTTGGTTATCATATTAATGTATTCTCCTTAGTGTGTTTTTTAATTGTTTTTTTATTGTTCTATTTTTCTTCTTTTTGGAAACCTTTCGTTTTCTTCCTTTTTATTATTGTAAGCCTCCTAGAGTAGCCCCACAGTGAGATAGGTGGCAAATTTAAATTATTAATAATAATAATAATCCCCCAGTGAGGCACTATCTTGTGGGTCTTGTGTACTCTGAGGAAGATACAAGCTCGGATGTTGCCCGGGTTAACAAGGTCTATAGATGTTGGAGTTCCTGGATATCTGGTGAAAAATGGGCTACGGGACTCAGGACTGTTGGCTGAGCAACCAGGGCCAGCAGCTGCAGAACAACTGGAAGAAAAGGTGTTTACCAGTCGCAAATACACAGTGATTGAAAGCAAAGAAATAATGATCTGTTATTACAGATCAAGTCCAACAAGAAGAGGATATTTGAAACAAATGCACCAGTTCTGGAAAGAACAACATCCAGAATCAGAAATAACAGAAGACAGGCTAACAGATCAAGGTCGATTTATAATACGAAATAAAGTATTCACAAAAGCAGAATTGGAAGAACTGCAAAGGTTCACCTAGGGCAAAGAAATCAAAGCCTTGCCAGAAGTAACTCAGAATGTAGAGGCAAACCAGGGGGAGTTAGTAGTAAAGGAATCCAGCAGAGATACACACCTGTTTTCATTTGGAAACCAGGCCCCCTTTCCTCTGCCTCAGGAAAAACAAATCTTTCTAACTAAAGAAATAAAAGAATTGTAACAAAGAATAACTGAGCATCTAGAATAGCACAAAAACATCAGAATAAGGCTGCCTGCATTGAAGCTTGTTCCAGAGAAACAGCTAGCACAAGCGTTTAAAGATGCAAATACTACAACTGTATAAGCACCAACTCACTGCAAGAAACAAACCAACTAATGTACAGCACAGCTGCAGTTATAGCTGAATACCTGAGATGCAAAATCAACAAAGAAGAAAAAAAGCCAGTCACCATAAAAATGGAAGATTAGACTGGAAAATAAGATCAAGTTGAGATCAGATGCAAACAAGCTAGAATAGTTGAAAGAAAAGAAGCTGAAGAACAAGAAGACCAAAGAATACCTAATCAAGAAATACCACTTAGAAACAAGGAAAATCAAGGAAGCACTGGAAATAATAAAGTAGCAAATAACAGCTATAGCCAAGAAGATCAGCAGATACAAACCTCAAATTGGAAATTATAGGCAGAATCTCCAATTTCAATCCAATCAAAAACGTTTCTAACAATCCATCAATAGAGAAACTGCAGTCAATCAGTCAGTACCTGATGAGGGAGAAACAGTGCAGTTCTGGCACAGATATGGGATAACCCAAAGAAATACAACAAGGACGCAGCTTGGTTAAAAGAGGTGGACAAGAATAAAAAAGTTGAAATGAAAGAACTAGTAATAACAGCAGAAATGGTAGAGAAAAGAGCAAGGAAGAATTGGTCAGTACCAGGTGAAGATGAATTGCATGGTTTTTGGTTGAAACATCTCTGGTCTATGCCCACTCGTTGCCAAGCAGCTCAACAACATAGTACAAGGAAGTGAAATTAAAGAGTGGCTAACAACTGGGAAAACCTACCTGATAATGAAAGAGCAGGCAAAAGGGGCAGCACCAGGCAACTATTGGCCAATTATCTGTTTACCAACAACTTTCAAATTGCTAACTGGTATGGTAGCTGATACAGTCCAACAGCATCTAGTTGAAATCAATCTCTTTCCACCTGAGCAGAAAAGAAACTGCTTCAATAGCAAAGGAATAAAAGATCAACTCCTAATTGACAAAATGATCTTGGAAAACTGCAAGAGAAGGAAGACCAACCTGAATGTACCGGTAACATGGATTGACTACAAAAAGGCATTTGACTCTTTGCCACATGACTGGATAATCAAATACCTAGAAGCTGACAACATCAAGCACACTAAAATCAAGAAAAATATTAGAGGTGAATACACGAAGAGAGTGAAAAAGGTCTTATAGTCCAAACTCAATGGAGGAAATATCATCAAGGCAATCAACACCTGGGCGATTCCAGTCATTAGATACGTAGCTGGAACAGTGAACTGGACTCAAGCAGAACTAAAAGCAATGGATAGGAAGACCAGAAAAATAATGACAATGACTCATGCCCTTCATCCACGCAGTGACATTAACAGATTCTACCTACCAAGGCAAATAGATGGGTGTGGAATGTTGTAAGTACATCAAATGGTTGAAAAAGAAAAAATGGCTTTGGAAAAATATCTGAAGAACAATGATGAACATGCACCGAAGTTAGTATATCAGGAAGGCTTACTGACTACTGGAGAGACCAAACTGGCCTATAAGAAAGACCAAATGAACAAAATGGAGGCATGGGAAGACAAAGCACTACATGGCCAATACATTAAAAAAATAGCTGGGAAAGCAGGTTATAACAAGACCTGGTGAAGGCTAAGAGCAAAAAAGTTGAAGAAAGAGACTGAGGGACTAATTGTGGTGCACATGACCAAGCCTTAAGGACAAATGGATACAAAGCCAGAATTGAGAAGACAGCATCAGACAGTAAGTGCCGCCTATGCAAAGAAGCTGAAGAAACAGTGGACCTCCTGATAAGCTGTAGCAAGAAGATCACACAGACTGACTACAAGCTGTGGCATGACAAAGTAGCAATAATGGTGCATTGGAAGATCTGCAAGAAATATCATTTGCCTGCAAGCAAGAACTGGTGGGACCATAAAATAGAGAAAGTCGTAGAAAATAAAAAAGTTAAATTGCTTCTGGGACTTTAGAATTCAAACAGGCAGACATCTGCCACATAACATCCCAGACTTAACAATTGTTGATAAGAAAGACAAAAAAGTCTGGATAGTGGACGTGGCAGTGCCTGGAGACAGCAGAAGAGAAAGAACTGGAGAAGAAAACAAATTACAAAGACCGACAAATAGAAATAGAATGACTCTGGCAAAAGCAAGCAAGGGTAGTACCAATAGTAATAGGCGCCTTGGGTGCAATCCCAAAACAACTGGAGCACCACTTGAACACCATCAGCATTGACCAATTCGCCATCAGTCAATTGCAAAAGGCGGCCTCACTGGAAATAGCTTCCATCCTACCATGGTATCTGTAACACATCAAACATCCACATCTGCCTATCCCAGGTCCTTGGTAAGGACTCAATAGGTAGACAAAAATGCCAAATTCAGTCTGAACATCTGGCTGACTATAATAATAATAATAATAATAATAATAATAATAATAATAATAATAATAATAATAATAATAATAATAATAATAATAATTGAAAAACAATCATTAATAATAATAATAATACTTCCTTCTCCTATTTTCCCGACAACAATCCTGTGAGGTGAGATGAATTTAGAGAGCGTGATTGACCAAAAGTCATCTGGCTGGTTTTTCATGCTTAAGAAGAGATTAGAAGTCCTGCTTAGTCTTCTGGTTTCTAGCATGATAACTTAGCCACTAGACCAGGGGTCTCCAAATTTGCCAACTTTAGGACTTGTTGACTTAACTGGCTGTGGAATTCTGGAAGTTGATGTCCACAAGTCTTATAGTTGCCAAGCTTGGAGAACCTTGCAATTGAGCAAACTGTTGTGGATTATTGAGGGACCTCTGGAAAAAAAGCGACACATTTTCCTTTTCTTACAAATTAGTCTAGTTTACTGTATTTTGGGACAAACAGTACTTACCTGTAACTACACTTTTTCTAGTAACTTTATCAGGAAGGAAAATACTTTCTCAACTTCTGCCATATTCTGTCAAATACAGTATGTGATATTTACGGTACCATATTACAAGGAGAAGATGAAGATCCTGATACAATCCATCCATACCAAGAGCAATAAGATTTCTTTTAATCTAACACAGGTACTGGTGGTCAAGTATAAATTGAAATTTGCCCAAATCCATATGCTTTATTCTGACTTGAAATATATTTTTCAATTTTAGCCATTAGAATAAATGAAGAAGCTGGGATAGAAGAAAGCAGTCTCAGTCCGCTTATGGTGCTTTTCATCATGCTTTTAAGAATCAAATTCAGATGAAGCAAATAGTCTGTTTTCTGTCTCTGCATTACTGGTAATTATTTCAATACAACATAATAAACAGCAAGAGAGCCAGTTTGGTGTAGTGGTTAAGGCATCAGACTAGAAATGGGAGAATTCTAGTCTGGCCTTGGCACAGAGCCAACTGGGTTACCTT